TACCTACAAATTCTAGTTCCATCTTCTTCAACATCGAGATTGATTTATAACTTACCAGCAATCGCTTAGTGTCATTTAAGAAATTCCTTATACGTTTCAAACTATAATCGGAGTCGTATCTTGAAGATACTACTTCGATATAAAATCCATAGACAGAATCGAGCAACTAAGATCGTAACCAATCTGTTTATTTGTCCTATGAGTAGATTCTAAGCTCCTAATGGAAATAATATTGAAACTAATGCAAATATTATTAGAACTAACCTTAACTGATCAAACAGTTTTGAATCTATAATGGTTTTGAATAGATCTAACATTGCAGCATTTTCAGTATATTTCCTCTACCTCACCACCGATCTGGAAGTAAAATACAGCTACAGAGTTGTTGTCAGACTTATTTCTCACATTCTCATCAATTCTCCGTTTGGTGCGACGAACACATACTAAGGAATTATCATATCTCAATATTTGAGACAGTAACACTTCAGACTTCATTTCGAAGATTTATTATATTTTTAACGCTATCTATGTAACTGTCTTTCAACGAATATCTGTAAAAGCAATCAGCAACTTTCTTAGCAACAAAACTATCCGAATGCCTATGTAAAATTGTCTGTCTCATTTACATGAGAAATCAATTATCTTAGTGATCAGACCGGTAACGAACATTTGGAGTTTTATCAAAGGTGATTCTGTTCAAAATGTTCAACGTCTCACTAACGCCACAGGAATGACCATGTAACAATTGGAGCGTCAAGTATTCAGCTTGTTCTTTATGAGTCATGTTGTTCAAATCTCTCACAATCGTCTCTTTGATAATCTGACATAATATTTTTTACAAGAATGCAAATATTAGAACCGACATATGTGTGATGTTGCAAAGGGACAATAATACTAAATGAATCATACCTCAAAACGTTCTTTGGTGGGGGAGAGAGACATAAATTTCTCCCAGAGAAGTGATAAGAAAAAGAGAAGTTTTTGCCTATAGCCATCAATCTTCAATACCAACTTATCCCCACAGAGTGTTAATGAATTAGACAGATTGGCTTCATTACCCTGCAAACAAAGATATAATATGTCATTTTCTAGTGT